TATATATATATATATAAATAAATAACTCAGAAAGAATTCCCAAAACACAAGAACACTCAAAACTCATTAGTAAAAACTGTCCAGTGCAAATGGTATAGCTAGCTTCTATGGGTTATTGCACCTTTCCTTTACAGGGATTTGTTCCCTAATCTTTGCAATGCCCTTTACCTTGCACATTAAGAAGAACTGATGCTTATGTTCCCCCACAACACACAAGATAACTAAATGTCACTGTTGGAAGAACTCGCTGCTGTTGGGACATTCATTACCAACTGCTGGAGGAAAATGTTGAAATAGACTGTATTTGAGAGGAAGTATTTAAGCTTCCCGTGCTTCCCTCCATCTAAAAATGCTTGTTTCCTTGCCGTCTCTGGTATTACAAAGTTTGTGAGCTGCAGACACAAAACCAACATGAATCCGTGGAAATTGAATCCGTGGAGAGAAGTGAGAATACCCGATACGCATACTTGTTGCAGTTCGGAATATAATGAGGATACAGCTGGACAACTAGCATTTTCAAAAGATTCGAAATGGCAGCCCCTGTGTTCCTTTCATAACAGGGTTCCTTAAAAGAGAACTATGGGGCAAGTGTTTTTCCCTATAGTTTTCTTTAGGGTCACGGGAGGACATATACTAGCGTCCTCCCGTGACCCCCAAGTTCAGTACATAGCGAGCTATTGCCTGCGATAATATGAGAGCGCCGCACCCGGGACGGATCCCGACATTACTGTCGAGATCCACCCAGCTGTGTGAGTGACAGCTGCCTCTGCCTATCTAGAGGCAGAGCCAGCTGTGCCCGCCCCCTCCGCGTCCATTCCTCCACTCAGCGCTGGAGTATCGGAGAGGGGGGATCCCTGCGGGGAGCGGTGACTGACAGGGAGACGATCGGGAAGTGAGAGGATCGGCTGGATGTTTCTGCTCACAATAGAGCTGACCTGTGATAGCTTCTTTGTCACAGGTCAGCTCTAATTAGGAGGACGAGTGGAAATCACTCGCCTCATAATTCTCCTTTAAAGATGGCACCAAAGTTATGTATTACTCCGATATGTTTGTATTGTGTACGCACATCGTCAAAGAAAAGGAGCAAGTTTAAAATGGTGCACAGGTTCACTTTAAAGCTAAACTCCAGGAATTAGACAAAATCTACCCTTGTAGTGTCCCCCCCACCCCCGGCACTGCAAGGGTTACCTGCTCAATAGCTTTAGGGCTAGAAGAGTAAGAAGTAATACTTACCTTATTCCCCCCTCTAGCAGGCTCCCTCCAGTAGTGTGGCTGGTCCAGCTAAGCCAAACATGTGTAGGACCCAATTTACCCGTAACTCATGGGGGGGCGTTGCTGTGTGTGACCGCGGATGGTGCCGCTTTTCAATCCAGAATAAATGAAGCAGTCACTGGCACCACTAACCCCCCCTCCCTTATATTAATATGATCCTCCAAGCCGTCTTGCTCATAGACCAGGGGTCTCAAACCTCCGGCCCTCCAGCTGTGGTGAAACTACAAATCCCATGATGCATCTCTCTTTGGCATTCATGTCTGTGGCTGTGAGAATCTTACAATGCCTCATGGGATTTGTAGTTCCACCACAGCTAGAGGGCCGGAGGTTTGAGACCCCTGTCATAGACTCTTCCCTGCAGTATCTCTCCCCCTCTACTGCAGCAAACGCACCGGAGTCATCATGCTCTACACACAGCCTGTAGGATGTGAGGATGGCGAGGGACATTCCATTGCTACAGTGGTGCAACGGAAAAGGAGACAAGCTGCAGGGGCCGCTGTCACAGCCAGCCAGGTCGGAGGATCTGGTGAGTATAACTTTGTAACTTTCAGCCCCAGACCAAAATGAGCAGTTAACCCTTGCAGTTCGAGGGTAGACCCACTGCAAGGGTTAATTTAAAAAAAATACCCAAAGTTCTTCTTTAGCCCTTTTGCTGCCAAAACTTTTTTTCTTTTTTGCACACATGGTATAATTCACATTTTAGGCCTGAAAATTACTTCAAACCCCCAAACATTATATATTTTCTGAAAGCCAACATCCTGTAGAATAAAATAGTGGCAGTTGCACATTTTTATATTGCACAATATTGGCACAACTCTTTATCAAACCCACAAATTTAGTGGAAAATGCCCCAAAACACAATACCCATTTTTTTTGTGTAAAATATAAAAGAGGAGGTTATGACGAGTAAACAGATACCCCTGCTTGGAGTGCCCATGCACTTCACTGGCCCATAAAAGTGATCTGGCGGTAGCTGGGCCCCCAGAATCGCTTTCATTGTAAAGCCGCCAGCCAGCTTTACAAAGGTAAACAGAGTACGGGGCCCTCCTGCCGATGACGTACTAGGTACGTACGTGGCCGCGAAGGGGTTAAGTAACGATAAACCATCTTGGCTGTTACATATAAATTATTATTATATTATTATACAGGATTTACCAAAGTTGCCGGAGTATAAGACGACTTTTTATACTTAAAAACATCCCCCCGAAAATCGGGGGTCGTCTTATACGATGTATATATTATACAATGTGAACCTTTAGTTAGTTTGGGCCAAGCTGGCCCAAAACGAATGGCCCTTTATTGTCAGCCCCTCTGGATGTGCGGTAATACTGTATGTACGGAAGCTTCGGCTACATACAGTATCCCGCGCTGAGCCAATCACGGAGAGCGATGTACACAACCTCTGCCAATCCGAGCAGGCTTTGTATTCATTAATAGAATACATTGCTCGCCGTGATTGGCTCAGCACGGTATACTGTATGTAGCCAAAGCTACCGTACACACAGTATTACCGGACATCCAGCGGGCTGACAGATTAGTGGGTGTGTTTAAACAAAATGGCTGGTAGACAAGACCCCATCATGGCTCCAGCAAGAAGAAGGAAATATGAAGCCTCGGAAGGGGGGGGTAGTCTTATACGACGAGTATAGCCCAAAACCTATGTTTTAACTGGAAAATTAGGGGATCGTCTTATACACCCAGTCGCCTTATACGCCGGCAGGGCGG